CTATGAGTCGAAAACGACTCGACGGCACATAACAACAACTTATCAAAACTAAGTTTAAATACTCAATTTCTTCCTGTTTGGTTTTGTTGCTTACTGGGTATATTTGCATAATAATTATACTAAGAAATCTTTTTAAAATAAATATATTCCTAATACAAACATCACTACACTCTGGTATAAATCTTGGAATGTTATTTTTAATGAATGTAACATCATTCATCATCAATTTATCATCCTCAGAGTAAGTAGGTCATATGGCCACTAACTCACTAATGCCTAGTATTTCAGTCTTTATGCTTTCCATGTAATTTTTCACTACTTCTCATTTTCTCAAGTTCATATTTTGTACATTCCACATACCAGTTATCACTGGGTATTTGTGACTCTTTCTCCTCATTTTAAGTCTTATCACATCAGTTAATGAAGGTCCTTTATTGGGCCAAAGTTTTATTCAATCCAAGTCATTAATACAGACTCTGCTTTGAGGATTCAACTCTTTTCCAATTGCTTTTTTAATGTCTTTCAATCTGAGGAGCTCATCTTCTTCGATACCCAACAATATTCCAATGTTCTTCATAAGAATTTTGTGGACCTGTCAAATATGGATGTCCATTCTTGCTTCTTAGTCTGGAAGTCCTACTTAAACTTGCCACAGTGTAAAACCCTGATGACATTTGAAATGCTATTGGCACAGTTTTCAACATCTCAGCAACACACAAGTCACCAAAGTATGACAAAATGATGAGTGGAAGCTCTCAATCATAGTACAATTTGGTAAGGTAAGACTCCTGGTGACTGTATATACAACAGAACAAAACTATACCTAATTCAGCTCCAACTTTACGATTTCTATTGTGCTTAAACTTATCATTGTACCCATTGTGTCAATCTATCATTGAGGATCTTCCTCTCATTTGCTAACCATCCACTTTTACAAGCATATTGTCTTTTGTTCAATAATGGTTCCTTCTAAAATATAACCAATGTTTCCAAGTTTTGCCACCTTCTTCTAACCACCTTCTTCTAAGGAACAGTCTAGATGTTTGCATGTGTTGATAAACTTGCTCTCTACGCAATACTCATTACTGGTAGTTAAATAATACATAAAAATGTAGTTTTAATTCCATAAGCTATTGTAATTAACAAGAGATATTGCAATTTACAAATCAGAGATTTATTTTATCCATCATATATTTTTATTGTTTTATTACGTATGTCACAGATGGAAAGCATCTACACAGTATTAAATTCTGTTAATAACTTGCTTAATTAGCTCTTGCAAAAATTAACATAAAGTTTGATAAATTCTCAAATTACAAATTTATTGAGCTGAAATATGTATGTTCTTTGGATTATCAACAGAATTTAACAGTACTTGGACCAAGAAGCTGTACCAGAACAGAGCAGGGAAACACTGTGTGGTTCTAAGGAAGATCAGGAAAGGTATGGATCAGCGGTGGATCCTGTCTCCATGCTTTTCCAATCTATATACAGAACAGCTCATTCAGGAGGCTGGACTTTGTGAAGAGTAATGTGGCATCAGGATTGAAGGAAGACTTATTAACAACCTACGTTATGTAGATGACACAATATTGCTTGCTGAAACTGAAGAAGACATGAGGTGTTTGCTGCAGAAGGTCAAGAACTGTAGTCTTTCATCAAGACTCAACATCAAGCTCAACATCAAGAAAACAAAGATTTTAACCAATGGGCCAATTAGCAGCTTCAAGATGGATGGAGAAAAGATTGAGATTGTTGATAAATTCAGCTTTCTTCATGAAAACAGAAGATAAATTGCATAGGGAATGTCTGCTCTCAGGGACCTCTCTAGAGTTCTGAAGAGCAAAGATATCAGTCTGGAGACTAAGACGTGCCTAAACCAGGCCATGGTCTTCACAGTTACATGAGATATGGAGAATGACTATGGATGAAAGAAGGAAGGATAGATACCTTTGAGTTCTGGTGCTGGAGAAGAATATTGAACGCACTATGGACTGCCAGAAGAACAAACAGTTCTGCCTCAGAGAGGGTAAAAGCAGACTGGTCCCTGGAGGCAAGGATTTTGAGGCTCCATCTCACATACTGTGGTCAGGAGGGATTAATCCTTGGAGAGGGACACCCTGGTTGGAACAGTGGAGGGACAGTGCAGGTAAGGAAGACCCAGGATGAGATGGATTGACTCAGTGACTGAAGAAATTCCATTAGGGTCTATTGGAGATGATGAGATTGGCTCAGGATAAGGTAGGTTTCAAAGCTAATGTACCCAGGGTCACCATGAGGTGCAGACAACCCAATGACACATAAAAACAATAACAACGATGCTAATTTTCACATGAAAGATTATATTCAATTCAGAAATGCGTGTTCAGTAAACATATCTTTGGTTTCATTCAACCTGCTCCTTCAGTATAAAACATTTTCTTGAAGGTTTTTTATTCCTTGTGGGTGTGAAAGAGACAGTATTATACTGACCAAAGTCATGAGAATTCATTAAATACAGCTGACTGTGTATGGTTTGTGTTTGAGGGGGGAGAAATCTTTCCAGGACTGTAACCAATTTTAATTTCACAAAATACTTGTTTACTCTAACAAGGATAGAGAAACTATCAAGGGGAAATGGTTAATAATGGTCATAGACACAGGCTCTCGTGGCCTCTGTGTCACATGGATGCCAGAATATAAATCAGGTAAATCCATCCCTCAGGGCACTGGGCGGAAGTCAAATGATGAAGCCAGGTCTAGCAAGATGGGTTTAATTAGGAAGTCTGCGGCATAATATTCAGACAATCTCCTAAAATTTCATTCTATCCAGTTAAGCAACTTATTTCTAAAACCTGCTTACCCATGGGGAATAGTTCTGAAAAGATTGCCAGACCCTGCCTCATTAGTAGTTTAACCCCAATGCAGGGCTAAAAGCACACATATCTCATTTCCAGTGCTGACACTGAACAGGGTTGTAATACACAGAAATTTGTAATATTAGATTTAAAAAACAAACAAACTCCAATCATTGGCCTTCTTGAGAAATGCAATAGTAGTTTAGGAGGGACTATTTGAATCTAACATGTTGATCTTTTTATTTTAAATTATTTTCAGTAAATGTCATTCTTTTCTGTCCTTATAATGAAAATAATGCATTCAAAAATTATAATTATGTTGACTTTCATATTTTTCCATTGACTGTAATATTTTACTATATAATGTGGCCTACTGGCAAGAAGCTGTGCTCCAAATCCCATAGGCATGTAGTATGAGCCCACTAGCTTCTCCTTCCAAGAAGGATGGGCAGTCACCTCCTGTATGATTAACTGTCTCTGAAAACACAATGGAGAGTCAGCTATGGGTCAGATCTGACTCTACACAACAACAAAAACAAAAGATTAATATTTTACTGTGATTTAAACAGTTTATAGGAAAACTGGTCTTTCCACAATTCATACACATTATTTTGTAACATTAACTGTTGTTGTTTTTATTGTTGTGGTTGCTATGTGTCAAGCTGCCTGTGACTCATGGCAACCCTATGTACAATAGCTCTGAAGCCTGCCCTGTCTTGAGCCAGTCTCATTGACTCCGACACACCAACTTCCTTTGCCACAGTCACTGTGTCAATTCATCTCCTCTGGGGTCTTCCTCTCCTGTGCTGTCCCTCCACCTTTCTGAGCATAATATCCTTCTCCAAGGATAGGTCCCTTCTGGCCACATGCCCAAAGTAAATAAGACAGAACTTCAAAACCATAGCCTCCAAGGAGAGACTTGGTTTTACTGTCTCCAAAACAGACCTATTTGGTTTTGAGTTTGATGCTTTGTTTTGGTTTGGTTTGGGTTGGTTTTTGATGGTCCATGGTATATTCAAGACTCTTCTCCAGTACCCCAAATCAAAGGCATAAATTCTTCTTCTGTCATCCTTACTCATTATCCAGCTCTCTGATGCATAGTAAGTAATTGTGAAGACCATGGACTAGATCAGACTACCTTAGTCTTACAAATCCCATATTTTAATATTTTTCACCTCACTTTCTCTGTTTCCTATTTCCACTTATTTTTATGTTCTATCTTTTCTTATTCTTAATGTTCATACATAGGCAAATGGAATATTTTGGCTATCATATTTAGAAAGATGCAGGGTGGCTGAATGAGAAGAAGAACCTTAGCTAGAGAGATTGGCACAGTAACTGTAACAATGGGTTGAAGTATATTAGAGATGGTGAGGATGATGCTGGATAAAGCAAGATTCAGATCCATTGTTCCTAAGGTCACCATGAGTAGCACTCAACCAGATGCACCAAACAACAATAACATATGTGTAACTTAAGCAATTTGCCATAGGCTATGAACCTAAAGATTGGAGGTCTGGATCTAACTAGTGATGCTGGGGATCTGGGGAAGCCTTAATAATTACGCTGTGAAGATCCCAACCAAAAAAACCTTATCAAAACACAAACTCAATGTCAGGGAGTGGAGTGTCACTCATAAAACCCTCCTTTTAGCTAAAAGAAGATTAGAAATCTTAACTTGAAGACATTGCCCATATGTGAGCTTCTAAGAAGCTCCTGGTGAATTTTAGACTCTATAGAAAATTGGCCATTTGATTGGCAGTATAAAATGCTACAGATTCCTACAGAGCAATTCAAATCAATCCCACAGAAGTTGTTATGGGGTTAAGGTCTTATTCAGTGGTCAAGAATGATGACAATACATATAAAAAGTACTGGGTAAATAGCTAGGCACATTCAGAGTGATCAATAATTTAGCCTGATACTCTTTTTTTTTTTAAGCTAGAATTGATTCATTTCTGAAATCCATTGGGATTTCACTACTTTAGATCCATCTCACAGGAGGAGATTTTCCAACTTTCTTATACAGAGATCCTGGTGGATTCAAACCACTGGAGAGGTGTGACCTTTGGGATCATGCAGCAAATCTATCTTACAAAATAAGTGAAATTACCACAGACTAAGTCACCAAAGTTATAAAAAATAAGTTTTTAGTATCTCTATGCCCAAGGCAGCTTCTGTGCCAACACTACACAGGAGCATGTTGGGAGAACGGCAAAAGAGGCCACTAGGGACAGTCGAGATGGTGACCGAGAGCACCATCATTGCAGGGGAGCAGACAGCTAATGAGTAGACAGAAGTGACTGGAGGCCTAAGCCATCATATTAGGGGTTAGTTCAGGCCTTGTATAGAAGTCACTAAAGGGAAGGAGATAGGACACGGAAGGGGGTTGGGGACAGAGAGGAGAATGGGACACACACTGAATGGAGGAATCAATGCTAGCTTTATCTGTTAGGTTTTGCAATGAGGAAATGTCTTTATGTATGGAAGTGTCTTTTATTGCTGATGCCTTTTAAAGCTTAGAGTGGGTGAGGGAGGGAGTGCTTATTCATAGGTTTACAAAATTTGATGGGTGGAGGGAGGAATGGGTAAAGGAAATGGAAAAGAGTTGGTGTGGAAAACAATGCATACAAACTTTGTAAATAAACCATCTTAAAGAAACAAACAAAAATAACAACTAAAAAACCCCACTTAGAAATGTTTAAGATTGCTGGTTGATCATCTGTGCTTTCTGGCAAATGCCTGTATTTTGGGTGTTTTACCAAAGATGAACTTTCAAATTAAAACTTACTAGAAAAAAGGATTGGTCATCCACTTTGGAACTAGCAGGAGTTCAAAAACCCTATGGACACACATAGATTATTAAACCCTTCATAAACCCTGGGAGCACAATAGACTATTAGATACAGCACAAGAGGCTGAGACTTCGTATTAGGAAACACGAAATGAGGAGGAGAATTTGCAAACAACCACTAACAATTGGAATATGGAATGTATAAAGCATGAATGTTGGAAAAGTGAACATTGCTAGAAAATATAATTGGAATACATAAATATTGATATACAAGGCATTAGTGAGCTGAAATGGATTGGCACAGAACATTTTATGCAGGGAACAAAAAATTAAGGAAAAATAGGGTTGCATTAATAGTAAAAAAGACCATTTCTAGGTCATACAAACAAGATGTATTCATAATAATTGGTGACTGGAATGCAGAAGTTAAAAAGAAGAAGAATCACTAATTCAGTAATTGAACTTAGTGACAAAATGAGGCTGGAGAGAGAAAAAATAGAATTTTGTACAATCAATGGCACATTTGTTGCAAATATCTTTTATAAAAACCACTAATGGTGACTAGACACATGCACCTCACCTGATGGACTACACAGGAATCATATTGACTACAAACGTAGAAAGAATCATTGGGAAAGCTCAACATCAGCTGTGAAAATCAGTCCAGGTGTTTATTGTGAAATGGACTATCAACTACTCATGTGCAAGTCTAAATTTAAGCTGAAGAAAATTAAAACAAATCCACAAGAATCAAAATCTGACCTTGACTCTATCCCACCTGAATTTAAAAATCATCTCAAGAACAAATTTGAAGCAATGAATACTAATGAACAAAGACCAGAAACCCAAAGATGATAGCAAGAATATAATCCATGAAGATTGCAAGAGGTCAATACAAAAACAGCAACAAAAACAAAACAAAAAATCAACTCAAAGACAGAGGAGAAAGAAGAGACTGAGATGGATGTCAGAATGACTCTGAATATTGGACTAGAAACTAAACCAAAAGCAACAAATCAGGAGTTAAGGAGCTGAACAAAAGATTTCAAAAGACAGCTCAAGAAGACAAAGCAAAGTGTAATATTGAAATGTACCAAGAGCTGTAGTTGGAAAATCAAGAGACAAACAAACTCATCATTTCTTAAGCTGAAATAACTGTAGAAAAAAAATTCAAGCCTCAAGGTAAAATACTTAAAGATGCTATGGGCAGAATATTGAGAAATCCAAGGGGCATCAAAAGAAGATGGAAGTTATACACAAAAGTATTGCACTGAAAATGGCCAATTCAACCAATTTCCTGAAATAGCATATTATCAAGAAGCAATTATGATGAGAAGGAAGTTCAAGCTGCTCTAAAGGGATTGACAAAAAATAAGATCTTGATAATTTAGGGAACACCAATTGACATATTTCAACAAATAGTTGAAACCAGCAGCCTTATGTGTTCACTAGGTTGTGCCAAGAAATTGGAAAGACTGGTCAATTGACTGAAAAAGATTCCTACTTAGTCTCATTCAAAAAGTAGACAATCCACCAGAGTGTGAAAATTATTGAACAGTCTCACTAAAGTCAGATGTAAGTAAAATCTTTCTGAAAATTAGAAAAAATTACTAGAACAATACATCTACAGAGAATGGCCAGAAATACTAGATAGCTTTAGAAGAGGCCATGATACGAAGGACCAGATGGATCTCAGCAGAAAGTAGAGAGTATGAGAAAAATATCGATTTGTGTTTTATTGACTATGCAAGGGCATTTTAATTGTGTGGATCAATTCTAACATTGAGAAGAATATTTGTGCTTATGTGAAACCTATACTTAAACCAGGAAGCTGAAGCTGTAATGGAACAGACCAAGGAAATGCTGCATGGTTCAAATACAAAAAAAGAGTGCATCAGGGATATATCCTTTCTCCATACCTTTGTAATCTTCATGTGGAACAGATCATGTGAGAGGCTGGACTTTATGAAGAAGTATGTGGAATCAATATTGGTGGAAGATTCATCAACATGTCGTCTCCTGCATCAGCTGGCTACTGACTGTACCTTCTCCCTGGACCAGCCTGGTGGCACCCTGGACCTGACGCTAATCTGTGCCAGGCTCCAAGAGAAGCTGTCACCTCCTTATAGCTCCCCTCAGGAGTTTGCCCAAGACATGGGCCGCATGTTTAAACAGTTCAACAAGCTGACAGAGGACAAGGCCAATGTTCAGTCCATCATCGGTCTGCAGCGCTTTTTCGAGATGTGTATGAATGAAGCTTTTGGTGACACCAAGTTCTCTGCTGTGTTAGTTGAGCCCCCACCACTAAGCCTGCCTGGTGCTGGTCTGGGGGCTGCAGAGCTGTCTGGAGGACCCAGTGATGGTCTCTGAGGCTATGGCCCCAGCCCCTGTGGCCAGCCTGGCCTGGCTCTTCTTTGTCCTCTCCCTTTCCCCTGCCTTCTGGTGGCCTGACTCCCACTCCCTGGTGGCCCTGTCCCCCAGTCCCCTCACAATACAGTTTTTACTTCTGTCGATTTAATAAAACTTCACGTTCCTTGGACCCTGAAAAACAAACAAACAAACAAAAAACAAAACATACCTATGTTATGCAGATGACACAACCTTGCTCACTGAACCAAAGTAGGACTTAAAGAATTTGCTGCTGAGGTCAAGGACTGAAGTCTTTGATATGAATTGCATTTCAACATCAAGAACAAACATTCTCACCACTGGGCTAATTGGTAGCCTCATGATAGATGGAGAAAAGATTGAGATTGTTAACAATTTCATCTTGCTTAGATCTACAATTAGCACTCTTGGCTCAGCAGTCAGGAAATAAAAAGATTATTTACTTTAAGAAAGTTGGCTTTCAAGGAACTCTCAAGAGTTCTAAAAACCAATAATGACCATCTGGAAAAGAGGATGCACCTGAATCACATAATGGTCTTATGAATTGCTTTCTATGCATCTTAGAGCTTGACAGTGATTAAGGATGACAAAAGAAGAACTGATGTGTTTGAGTTGTGGTGCTGGAGAAGAGCATTGAACATAAGATGGGTTGCCAACATAATGGGTCTCTAGAGTAGGTGAAGGTAGGTTGCTCCTTGGAGACTAGGGTTTTTAAACTCTGTCTCACATACATTGAGCATATTTCCAGGAGGGATCAGTCCTTGGAGAACATCATGCTTGGAAGGGTAGAGGGTTCATGCAAGAGAGGAGGACCCTGACAGATATGTATTGACACAGTAACTGTGACAATAGGGGCAAGAGTGTCAGAGAGAGTGAGATTGGTTCAAGATACAGCAGGGTTCAGAACTATTATTCTTATGCTCGTTTTGAGTTACCATCAACTCAATGGCACATAACAACAACAACAACATTCTCTAGGATGAACACTTAATTGTTTTACTGGGCTCAAGTACTTATCCCTTAACCCCTTGTTAGAAACTACTTGCTTCTCTGTACCCTTTCCCATTATCTACTTCAGAGATCTTTATTAATGGTTTCATTACTCATGCTCAGATACCTATACTTCTCTTGTCTTTGATGGTCATAAACTTTAGCATCAACCTCTTGAGTCCCTTGTCATTTCCCCTGAGAGCTCATTTTTCCATTCACGAGTGCAGGGTATGGTTTCACGTTTCCACACATAATTAATGAAAGAAGGACTTCTCATTATCTGCCAGTCTCTAAGCACTTGCATCTTTTAGTCCTGTCAATCTTGCCACCATCTAAAAAGAGTCTCACTTAAACAAAATGCCTAGTGCATTTTAAAAAGAAAAAATAATTTTTATTTAAGAGACACAGATTGGCAGCTCCTAAGATTGACATACTTTTTTTAAAAAAAGTAAATTTAGGAGAAAAGCACTGCTGATAATCTGTAAGAGTTTTTTTTAAGTAGTATCAGTCCAAGCCAGTTTTATTACCTAACTGTTTCTAAAACTCATCTCAGTATTCATTATTGCTTTCACAGTTGTAGCCTAGTTTATACTTATCTTTTGCCTGGGTAGGAGCCATTGATTCATAATTGAGCTCACTGTACCTAATTTAACAATGCTCTCAACTGTTACCCACAAACACACCAATATCTAACCTATGTAGCCTAACCTATTGAACAGTTAATCAAAACCCTCCAAACGAAACACACTGCCATCAAATTTATTCTGACACATAATAACCTACAGCAAAGAGAACCACCTCCCTAAGTTTTCCATAATTATAAGTCGTTTCAGTTGGAGACTTACATCTTTCTGCTGGCAAACAGCTGGTGATTCAAAAGACTGACTCCCCTATTTAAGAGTTTAAACCCTGTGCCACTAGGGGGCCTTTGCATCATCAGAATCCTTGATTATATCACTAAGAGTGAAATTGATAGTCTAAATAAAGTATAATAACAATACTTGTTTATTAACATATCTTAATCACAAAACTTCAGAAGTGGAATTTCACATATGTGGAATTTCACATATAAATTTTAATAGCAATTTGACATTGTCTTTATATATAAACATGTGGGTTTACTCCTTATAAATATCCATTTACAGTATAGAAATTTAAAACTATAAAAATTAGGTGAA